CCAGCTCTCTCTCCAGCACTAGTTCCGGCTGCTTCTTGCCCCCCGTACTGTCTTTGATGTCCAGAGAGAAGGCCGGGTTGCCAGTGAGATGGTACGTCAGCAGCGAGTTGCTGCCCACGTCTGCGTCTCGAGCCATCTCCAGCGGAAAATGAGCACCAGGGAGCGTCAACTCTGTGATCTCGAGGTCGAGAGCAGCCTTGCTGAAGGTCGGTGCGTTGTCGTTGACGTCCTGGATGGCCACCTCGACGTGGAAAACGTTGAGCGGGTTCTGCACCAGCGCCTCGAAGCTGACGGAGCAGGACGCCGACTCGCCGCACATCTCCTCCCGGTCCAGCCTCTCGCTCACGTACAGGTTCCCGCTCTCCCCGCTCACGCCGAAGTATTGCTTCTCCGCGCTGAGACGCAGCTTGCGCGCCGGCAGCTCCGCCGGGCTCAGCCCCAGGTCCCGCGCCAGCGGCCCCACCAGCGACCCTCTGCCCAGCTCCTCGGGGATGGCGTAGCGGATCCGCTCCGACGCCGCCGCCGCCGCCCGGCAGCACAAGCCCAGCAGCAAAGCGCCCAGCAGCAGCACCAGCACTCGCCCGCCTGCTCGCCGCCGGCTCCCCCTCTCCCGCTGCCTCTCACCGACCGCCATTCTCGCCAGCGCTCGCCGCGCTCCTCCCTCCTGACGCTGCGCCGGCTCCGGCTGCGGCTGCGGCTCCAGCGCCGCTCCGCGTCGGCCAACAGCGGCACCCGGAGGCGCTGCCACGATACTGCAGCCGGGCGGTGACCGCGCTGCCGGGGGCCCGGGCTGTTGACCGATGTTTAGTGGCTGTCCCCAGCTTTGGAGTCTCTTTTTTATGAGAAACAGGAAGCTTAGAAGCACTTAACGACAAGTGCAAATGCATTTATTACTGAGATATGCTTTCGGAAACTTCTAGGCCGTCTCCTTGAGCCCTGATGAATATCTGAAGGAATTATTTATGTCAGAGCAGTTGATAAAGAAACTCAGGTGCTCTTCATAAAATCCAGATAGAAGTTTTAGAGTAAGAAACGATGTGAAAGCTATGGAAGAGTTTAAGAGTTTTATGGCATCTTTACTTTGAATTCTTCTTTCCTTACCTGGGACAAATATCTAGAAAAAGACATACCTGTATGTGTATAATAACTAAAGGGAAACAGAATGAAGCGAAAGTCATTGCCATCCTCTCATGTTGAACCTGATAATGTTCTGTCTTCTCTGTATTTCTTCCTTTTGATCATGGAAGTTTCTGACCTTTGTTGAATTTTCTTGTAGGGAGAAGAATAATTACACTAGGAAGTATACCACCCAAGCCTATGTCTGTAGCTCTATACTAATAGACCAGATGGACGTTTACTATTCTTTTTATGATTCACAGAATTTCCTTCTTTTGTGACTCCATAGCTGAGGGGCTTACAAGAGCAAAGTATAAAGCCATGTTGAGTCTTTCATAGAATCATAGAATTATTCATGTCAAAATGGACCTTTAAAGGTCATCTAGACAAGTCCCTCTGCCATGGGCAGCGACATCTTTCGTTAGATGAGGTTGCTCAAACCCCTGTCCAACCTGATCTTGAAACCTTCTGGGCAGCCTCTTCTGGAGTCACAATACCGATACTATAAAACTTTTCTTCCTTATGTCCAATTGAAATCTACCCTCTCTCAGTTTAAATCTGGTGTCCCTTCTCCTGCCACAACAGGCACCAGGAAGAACTGTTTCTCCATCTTTGCCTAATAAAAAGGTGAAATAAAGGCTGTCTCAGCTGTGTCACCTCCCAGCTTCCTCTGCACTCACTCGCTGGTGAGGCATCATGAGGGGCAGAAAAGGCCTTGACTGCTTTGCACAACCAAGAACATCAGTGTATTACCAACACTATTTCCAAAACAAACCCACAAACATAGACGTATACCTGCTGATATAAAGAAAGTAAACCCCATCCCAGATAAAGGCATAACACTCACTAATGAATATATTGTTGAGATGCATAAAACAATAGCAGTCCCAGTATAGACCCATTTGGACATTGAGGCATTGACTTTAACTCTTTTGATGTGGCCATCCAGCCAGACCCTTATCCATCTAAAAGCCCACCTGTCAACCCATATCTCTCCAGTTGAGCCATGTAATGGGAGACCATGTGGGGGACACGCTGCACATGTTCTCTCACTGTCGTCATGTCTCTTCAGGGAAGCCTAGGCTGGGTTGGGTTGCCACTCTGTTCTTTGAGCACTTCAGCCGAAATGGGGTTGCTTTCTTTCCCAACAGGCAAGTGTTCACACTGGAAGCACTCATATGCCTAGGAAAGCCTTCCTCCTTACAGCTGTGAACCTCCAAGGTGTGGACAGGAACTGCCCCTGAACTCAGACAATTAGAACAGAGCTGTCCCCATTTCATCAGACACCCTGAGGACTGGCTCTAGCTTATGACAAGCAAGGCAAGAGTGAGAAACATACACAAATGAACATGGATCAGCTTCAATAATATTTCCTAGGCCAAACATATTGAGCAGAAGGAACTGAAATTGAATGGTACCACAATCATGTACCCAATGAAGTAATTATGACAAGCAAGGAAATGACCAGCAGTTCCTCTCTGGCCCCGCCCAACAGAACTTCCCCAAGTCTTTTCTCCAACCCTACACAACCTGCAGCTTTGATTAATACCCTCAGAATTGGCAAAAATATATCATAAGAGTATAATGGTTGACAATCAGACCAAAAAAGAAGGGACTTCTGTTTCCTCACCACCATTCTGTGATGGAATAAAAGGATGGTAAAGCACATGAATGTTAAATGTTTGAACTAAAAGAGGAGCAGTCATATAACAGAGACTGGGTAATATCAAGTTATCAGTTTTGGGGAACCTCCGCCACCCTATTCATGCATCATTTTTCTACATGCACATTTATTTTGAAATACTTTACGACCAGAGGACAACCATTATCTTTTGAGCCAGGAAATCCGGGAAAAGAAAAATGGCAAAGGTCTTTGCAAACAGATGCTGCTGAAGGGAGAGCTGCACACACAGTTTCTTATTTCTGAGAAGAGGGAGCACAACTTGGATACATGCAAAGAGATTTCTCTGCTCATCACACAAACTGGAAGACATCTAAAATCTTATCAAGTGCATAACTGATATACAGCTCCAAAAAAGACCCAATCTCAGCTCAGAGATACCATCTTCTTACTTCAGCATACTGGGCAACTTGGAAAATACATGCTGCTCAAGCCTTAACCTAAAGGTTACGTCTATGCTCAATAACTGCTATTGATGGGAAATATCATGCAACAGGAAACAGATTGATGAACCCCCAACTTGGCCAGTTGGAATTTGAGCAGTGCGATATTCAAACTTAAGTCACCTTCAATCTCATTTCATGTAGCCCAGGAATGAACCCTAGGAATTAATAACACACATGCCTTTTCTCTACTGCTACCTCCTCACACACACCATTCCCAAGACTCTCTTCAAACCCTTCACAGAAACACAACATTGACAATGATCATCATAATTTGCAGATAGACTCCTATAGACCTACAGAAAAGTTCCACAACAACTTCTCCTTTCCATGGCTAATACCTGACTTCTCCCTATGTGTATGTGAAAAGCAAGAACATTTGTTCAGTTTTTATTTGAATGAAAGATGTTTATGAGAGCCTCTCTTTCCAGCTGTGAAACACAACATTGACAATGATCATCATAATTTGCAGATAGACTCCTATAGACCTACAGAAAAGTTCCACAACAACTTCTCCTTTCCATGGCTAATACCTGACTTCTCCCTATGTGTATGTGAAAAGCAAGAACATTTGTTCAGTTTTTATTTGAATGAAAGATGTTTATGAGAGCCTCTCTTTCCAGCTGTGAACCTGAGAGGTAAATATGGGACAGCCAGGCAAATGTGACAGATGTGATCCTCCACACATTGTCAGATACAAAGGCTCACTTTCAGACCAACACAATGAGCAAGGCCAGCTCTGAGCACATGCAGAATGGAAGGACTCAGAACATACTCTTCTAGATTATGGCACTCAGAGTAGGCCCATAATCCAGGTATTTAGTAGGTAGCAAAGACACAGTTTGCTCTGCCCAAACCTCTCATTCTGGTGCTTGTCATAAATACACAATTTACTGTGAGTTAAGAATTGACAACAGCCTGAATAAGCAGAGGAAGAACCTCCCAGGGCTCCCAGAACAGCTGGAATCACATGCCTTCTAGCCAAACTTCTTCAGAAAGGTGAAACTCACATTGCATGATACTAGAGCTGGACACTGAATAGGGAAAGAAGCAAAATTATCTCTTGTTACCCTCACACAGAGTTACCAAGATTATTATCCTCAGCCCTTCACAACTTGCATGGTGTTCTTTGACCTTTATAATTTACAAACACATGACATGAAAGGCCTAGTTGCCTACACCATTTCTCTTTATCATGTACCACTGTCGCACCACAAACTTCACATGGATAACTTCACATCTCCATCCTAAGGAGGAAGACATATTGTCTGCTCACTACACTTAAGAGGAGAAACATTGGGAGACTAAAGGTAAAAGGGAAGCGGTCCTCCAAAAGATCCTAGGTCAGAGAACATCTGCCGAGTGGCAATATCCCCCTCCTAAGTTCTCCCTCCGGCCCTTGTACAGCTCTTGCCACAGCATGTGTTGTCAAGCCAAGACAGGATCAGCTCCATTTCAAATAAGTCAACCTTAAAAGAGAAGGAATCAGAAAAAAACATCTGCTGTTAGTAACCCTTCAAACACAGCCACCCAGACAGGTTCTCAAATTGTCACAACTTTGATGATTCTCCTTCACCTCCACAACTTGTAGACAGACAAAAACAAGTTGTTGCCCAGGACCTTCCTCTACCCAGTGAAGAAAGGTCAAAGCTTGGACAAATACAAAGACATTCCAGAGTTAATCACATTATAGAATCATAGAATCATAGAATGGTTAGGGTTGGAAGGGACCTCAAAGATCATCTAGTTCCAACCCCCCTGCCATGGGCAGGGACACCTCCCACTAGAGCAAGTTGCTCAAGGCCACATCCAGCCTGGCCTTGAACCCCTCCAGGGATGGGGCAGCCACAACTTCCCTGGGCAACCTGTTCCAGTGTCTCACCACCCTCATAGTAAAAAATTTCTTCCTGATATCTAATCTGAATCTTTTTTCTTCCAATTTAAAACCGTTTCCCCTTGTCCTATCATTACTCTTCCTGGCAAAGAGTCCCTCCCCAGCTCTTCTATAGGCACCCTTCAGGTATTGAAAGGCCGCTACTTCTCCTGATGCAGCCCAGGACACGGTTGGCTCTCTGGGCTGCCAGCGCGCACTGCCGGCTCATGGTGAGCTTCTCGTCCATAAGCACTCCCAAGTCCTTCTCCTCAGGGCTGCTCTCCAGCCAATCTCCACCCAACCTGTATTTGTCCCTGGGGTTGCCACCTCCCAGGTGCAGGACCCTGCACTTGGCTTGGTTGCCATTTGCACGGGCCCACCTTTCCAGCCTGTCCAGGTCCCTTTGGATGGCATCCCTTCCGTCCAGCGTGTCAACTGCGCCACCAAGCTTGGTGTCATCAGCAAACTTGCTGAGGGTGCACTCTATCCCACTGTCCATGTCTCCAACAAAGATGTTAAATAGTACTGGTCCCAATACCGACCCCTGAGGAACACCACTCGTAATTGGCCGCCACCTGGACATTGAGCCGTTGACTGCCACCCTTTGGGTGCGTCCATCCAGCCAGCTCCTTATCCACTGAGTGGTCCATCCTTCGAATCCGTGGGTTCCCAATTTTGAGACCAGGATGTCGTGTGGGACAGTGTCAAATGCTTTGCATAAGTCCAGGTAGATGACGTCAGTTGCTCTGCCCTTGTCCACCAAGTCTGTGGCAGTATCGTAAAAGGCCACCAAATTTGTCAGGCACGATTTGCCCTTGGTGAAGCCATGTTGGCTGTCTCCAATCACCTCCTTATTTTCCATGTGCCTTAGTAGAGATTTCAGGAGGATCTGCTCCATGATCTTGCCAGGCACAGAGGTGAGACTGACTGTCCTGTAGTTCCCCGGGTCTTCTTTGTTTCCTTTTTTGAATATCAGAGTTATGTTCCCTTTTTTCCAATCAGTGGGAACTTCACCAGACTGCCACGATTTCTCAAATATGATGGAGAGGGGCTTAGCAACTTCATCTGCCAGCTCTTTCAGGACCCATGGATGGATTTCATCAGGTCCCATGGACTTATACACCTTCAGGTTCCTTAAGAGGTCACGAACCTCATCTTCTTGTACTGTGGGTGGTTCTTCAAGGAGAAAAAAAAAGGCTGAGAAAAGTAGAAAGGAGGAGCACCTACATACAGGGCCACTAACAATCCATTTCAAGACACGCTTATCCACCCCCCAAAAAAAAAAAATTCCCTGACAACCAAGGCAAGACTGGGAAACATGATTAAGTGAAGAAAGGTGAGCTTAACATTGCAGATCATGTCAGCTCTAGCAGGAACACAAGAAGGGTATCCAACTGGTAAAAAGTGCACAGGAAACACACACAGCAGCCTACACCAAAGACCAGAGCCACAGCTCCTCCTTGGACAATATAAAATGGAAAATGTACGGAACCTCAACAGTGGGCCTTATATATCCACTAGAAGAAACCAAACTTTCATAATTTTTAGACATTTCAAATTATACCACAGTGAACTTTTTCACCTCCCATCTCTGGGAGACACAATTTTTCATCCTTCCCAAAACATCACACAACATAAAAACTGCGTTTGCAGACAGACACCGTTGAAAGAACAAGGATCTCAACATGGACACATGCAGAGATTTCTCTAATCATCATATTAATTTGAAGGAACATTCAATGTTCTCAAGAGAATAAGTGATACGCAGCTCCAATCAAAGTATCCATCATAGTCATCAAAGTGTTACCCCAAAGACACCATCAGCCTACTACAGCACATGTGCACTTGGAAGACACATGACTATCAAATCTTAATACAAATTCTATATCTGTGCTCAATAACTGCCATTCACAGGAAATATCAGGCAACACGAAAGCAAACTGATGAACTCACATCTTGGCCAAATGGAATCTGAGCAAAATATCCAACAAGAAGTTGCCTTCGGACTCATTGTAGTGAAGCAATGGTCCCTGGGAATTAATAAAACACATGCCTTGTCTCTACCGCTACCTTCTCACACACAACGTCCACAAGATCCTCCTCAAAGCCTTCACAGCTCATATCACTGTCATTGATCTTTATAAGTTGCAGTTAGACTCCACCCAAAGAACATTGCACAGACCATTTCTCCTTCCTATGGATAATACTTCACTTCTCACCATGTGTATATGACAAGCAAGAGCATTTGTCCAGTTGACATTTTAAGGAACCATGTCCATGGAAGTCTATCTCTTGACAGCTGTAAACATGAAAGGCACGTACGGGACAGTCAGACAAACGTAACAGGTGAGATCTTCCACACATTAGCAGACACTAAAGCCAAGATTCAGATCGTTCAAATGAGCAATGCAAGAAGTGAACACCTGTAGAAAGTAAGGGATCACAACACACTCTTCCAGATGATGGCAGTTAAAGTACGTACCCAATTCAGGTATTTCGTAGGTAGCAATTTCACAGTTTGCTCTTTCTAAAGCTCCCATTAATGGCGCTTGACACAAGTATATAATTCAGTGTTCGGTAAGAACTGACAACCACCTGCAAAAACAGAGGAAGGGCTCCCAAGACAGCTGAAATCACATGTCCTCTAGCCACATTTCTTTGGGAAGATGAATTTCACATTACATGATACTACAGTTGGACATTGAACAGGGAAAGGAGCAACCGTATCTCTTGTGCCCCCCACGAACAGCTCCTATGATTCTCATCTCCAGCCCTTCAAAACTTGCATAGTGTTCTTTAAGCCATATAATTTGAAAGCACATTACAAGAAAGGCCAGTGTCCCAGACCATTTCTTTCAAACCTGTTACACTACGACACCACCAACTTCACATACACGTCTTCACATCTCCATACCAAGAAGGAAGATGCATGTCACTCTCACTACAATTCAGAAAAGAAACAGCAAGAGCTTAGGAATAAAAAGAAAGCAGTCTTACAGGAGAGGCTGGTCCAGTGAAAATGTGCACATGGCCAAAGCACCTCTGCTACATTTCTCCACTCAGCTTCCCCTTCCCTGCCTGCCACTCTCCTCTGCCTCTTTTCAAGCCAAGACACATCCAGATCCATTTCAAATAAGTCAAATTTTAGATATGGAGAATTAGCAGAACACATCTATTTCTTGCAATAGATTTTCAAATGCAGGAACCAAGAGACAAAGAGGCACAACTTTCCATGACTCTCCTCCATCTGGCAAGGAGCTTATAAGCTGTACCCGGGGCCATTAACAGTCCATTTCAAGACATGGTCATCCTATTCCAGCACTTGTTCTGTCAGGAATATACCTTAACCTGCTAATGTGGAAAACTTCAATTAGCTTCATACATCCATTCAGAAGAGCTAGCACTGACACCAGAATGGGTATTACCCATCAGGGGACAAAATAAGAAATGACGTGGTGCGTGATAAGAACAAAAATCTTCGCTCTACCGAACCACAAGCCAACAGCAGCCCCACTTATCCTGACTCCCACAAAAAATGCAAGGCTGACAAAGAGCCTACGATCACGTCCCCAGAGCAAGACGCACCAGAACAGCGCGCTCATGAACCAAGATTTGCCTTTTTTTTGTAACTAAACCTCCCGAGGCGGGACAGAGAAGATCGGTGGACAAGGGCAGAGAATCGCGAGAGGGAAGCGTGGCAGAGCAATTCCGAGGGTGGGAGGAACTCACCGGGGGAGCGGCGGGGTCGTCGCGGCGGGCTCCGATTATTGTGCTTGTCATAAATACATAATCCAGTATTAGTTAAAAATTGACGACCACCTGCAAAAGCAAAGAAATGACCTCCCAGGGCTCCCAAGACAGCGGGAATCACATGTCCTCTAGCCACATTTCTTTGGGAAGATGAATCTCGCGTTGCATGATACTACAGGTGGACACTGAACAGGGAAAGGAGCACACCTAAGTCTGGTGCCCCTCATGCACAGCTCCCATGATTCTCATCTCCAACTCTTCAAAACTCGCATAGTGTTCTTTAAGCCATATAATTTGAAAGCACATGAGAGGAAAGGCCAGTGAGCCAGACCATTTCTCTTCAACATGCAATGCTACCACACAGCAAACTTCTTGCACGTATATCTTCACATCTCCATACTGAGAAGATACAATCATGCACTCACTGCTTCACAGAAGAAACATCAAGAGTCTAAATGTAAATGTGAACTGGTCCTCCAGGAGAGGCTGGGTCAGCGAACACCAGCACAGGGCCAAACCCCCTTGCTTACACTTCTCCCAATATCGTGAATCACTCCCCTCCTGCCCTCATATGCATGTATTCTAAAGACAAGACACATCCAACTCTTTTAAATCAGTCAACCTTAAAAGACAATCTAAATATATCTCCCATGAGATATATATCTCTTCAACCAGAGATTTTGGACATAGTCACAACTTCGATGATTTGATTTCATCTTCACAACAGGCAGACAAGCCTTCAACAAGGAATCAGTTGTTGTCTAGCCCATTCCTCCACCGTTGTACACAGTTCAAAGACAAAATCATGCACGAATACAAAGACATTTCCTTGCTCCCTCCATTGTCATAGAGAAACAGAAAATTCTGCTGAGAAGAGAAGAACCAATGAGCACTGAAGTTATACATGGCCCTATTAGCAGTTGGTTTCAAGACACGCTCATCCCACACAGGAATCAGGGGGCAAAATGAGAAACAAGTGGGTACATGATAGGAACACAAAGCTGCGCACTAAGGAAGCTCCAGAAAACAGCAGCCCCATTTCTCCTGACTCCCACAACAAGCGTTTGAACGCTGAGCAATGAGCCCACAATCATCAGCCGGAGAAAAAGGCACCAGTACAGTGCGCTCATGAACCAAGCTTTGCCTTCCGCAT